AAAGGGGACTTTCTTTGATATTTTTCAAGGTAGAGTTTATTTTTTGCACTTCAAAGATTTTTCTTCCTTATGTTGTGCCCCACTTGACATTATTATATGTATATTTTACAGACACACTACGTTACCGTAACCGCTGTGACGTCTGCTGGAAGCGTTGAGGTGACCTCAGATGGAATAACAGTTGTTCAAGAAAATGCCATTTTGTCTGGCATATCTGTCATTGATGGAGAACCATGCAATATGTCAGGTATATGAGTATGTAATGTATACATTTACTTCTTAATATAAACATGCTATTTATCTTTTGAAAAATATTCTCGAGTTTGGATGATTGTGTCATTCCTGTATTGTTGTGAAACCTATTTAAAGTTTTTTTTCTGAGAAAAAGATGATATGAAAAAGAAACATTTCTTTGAATATTTCAGAACGACAAACATCTCAAACTGTACTTCAAAACGACTGGGTAGGTTATTAGCTTTGTAGAATGTATTTGATTTTATTCAACATAACGAAGGTTACTGTTATCATAATCATTAAATGATTTATTACATATTTTGATTGTTTGTTAGGATGTAGGCGTAAATTGCACGAACGAAACCGACTTTCAGTCTTCTACTGACACTTTAAATGCCTACTGGACAATCCCAGAAGAAACTTTATTCTTCGTCCCAGATACGTATTATTCCATCGAAAGAAAATCCCCGTACGGTGGTAAGTTGTATGCAAAGTTTGACATAATTAAATCATAAAAAACGTTGACGACAAATAGATTGATGAAAAGAAGGTTACGTAGTTGCTTATGCTGTTAGTTTATCTTATTACTTGGTGTTATAAAAACAGTACAAATTTTATTGAAATCTGTCTAATATACAAAATATATTTTTAGACGATTGGAGTATCTTTCAAGACTACACATACAATCACGGGCACCAGGAAGCACATGTTACTGGGCTCTCGTTAGAACCTGGTAAAATGTATCGCTTTGTATTAAAATTCTGTGCTGGGAAGATATGTTACTTGCCGCACCATAGCAACGGTGTCGTTATACTAGCTAATCCACCCGAACCTGGTGCTATAACAGTTGTTCACGAAAATTCATCTTTAACTGAAAAGGTAAACCCTATCCTTCTAAAGCAGCAAGATTTTTATTTGCCATAAGTAATTTATAGTACTCTGAAATTTTTTGAAAGCAAAATCTACTAGCTTTTTCGGAAAAAATAATTGTACAGAAGAAAAAGGTTTTACTTTATTCAAAGGAGTTAAGCTTTACAGCATCAATATAAAGCAATTATGTGATTTAATAACCCTGAGGTATATTAAAAGCAATGTAGAGTAACATTTTATTCACTTCATATTCAATATCAGTCTCTTACTCTTTCTTATGTATAATATCTTTTTAAATTAAATATTGAAACCATCACTTAATTTTAGATAAAGGTTACCATGGATATGTTTAGAGACCCGGATATACAAACACTAACGGAAAAATACAGCGTTATGAAAAGATACGAATGGGCCATAACAGACCAATCTGATATGGGTAGACTCCACACCATGTGGCAGGAACTAGAAGAGTTCGATGTCATACCGGGGAAATACAAAGTATCTTCTTCTCTACTTCTCTAAAATCTGAAGAATCTCCTATTTAAAGGTGCATGGACACAGTTTTGAAATTGATATTTTCTGTATAATATTACGACTTATGAATTTTAATAGCATTTTTCACAAAAATAAATTAAAAATCTTATTTCATCTGAAAGTTATTGAAACTTTTGGATCGGTTTGATTGAAACATCCTTCCACTCTCACAAATTTTACTTTTATTTATATTAGTTAGGAAAGGTGGCGATCTTGTTGTGTATTAATGAAAAATATTAAAACATTAATCCAGAAAAATAATTATATTCAGAGTAGAAATGTTAAAAAACAAAACTCCTTCACAAGTATCATCATTCCGAGCTAGGTGTTGTGTACAGAGTTTAGCAAATTGATCACACCCCGTGAAACGTACAGTTTTTGTTGACAGTGCAAGAGCCCTGTTATTGTTGATCTTTACGATTCACCGGGTGCGTTCAATCGTTAAAGTCTGCTCACCACAACTGCATGAACTGACAATATATTGTGTGTATGTTTTGCTTTCGAACATTTCTACTCTGAATTTTCTGGATTATAGTTTAAATATTTTTCATTTATCCACAACATCCTCAATCAAACCCGTCTAAAAATTTGAAGTTTTGACAACTTTTAGATGAAATAAGAGTTTTAATTTATTTTTGTGTGAAATGCTATTAAATTATGTAAGTCGTAATATTATACAGAAAATATTAACTTCAAATCTGTGTCCATGCACCTTTAAAAGAGAGTAATATTTTCAGTATTTCCTGTTTTTCTATCTTTGTTTTGTTATTTAAACTTGTGTAAAATATTGAATAGCTAGTTTAAATATAGAAAGGATTTGAAAGAAATTATAAATCTACATATATTTATTTACGTAGATATTACGAACAAATGAACCATCTGCATTTAGTAAAAATAAAATGACAACAACAGTGTTATCCATCAACTAACAAATCCAGAATTTTTAAGACAATTTATTTGTTATCTAGATTTTTAAAACGATTTCTTGTAGATTGAATTTATCATAATATTGTCCGGAAGTTTGGATGTTTCAAAATGTCGTCGATTAACAGTAAGGGAGTTTAACAAAGCGGGGCTATCCTCAGCAATTTCTGGAGATATCAAGGACTGCAGTGATCCCCTACTGATCACACCAAACATTGTCATTGATGCTGTTGGACTACAAGATCCGAACAGAGGTTAGTCTTCTACCACTTTTTATTGTTAATATTCATTTTCAAAATCTGAAAATAATTTGGTGAATTATTTATATTTTTGACTGAAGAAAAAGCTATGTTTACTTTTCAGATGGATATGGAGAACCAATTTTCATGGAAAGAAATGCTACGTGGCCGTATCCTGATATGGACTATACACCTAACAAGAACTACATATCAGCTGTATGGCCTATTCTTCGATACATTGCATACACAGTGGCTGTTATTAAGGCCCGGAATATAAATGTCACAACTTACTATAAATCCCAGACTCTGTCGTTAGCTAATCCATGTAGTCATCCAAATGCTATCAGATGTGCCAACACTGGTAAGATTTAAGCGTTTATTGTAATATTTACACTTTAATAAAGAGGGAAAAACGTTCATTTCCTCTTAAGTCTAAGCATATTTTTGACAACCCTGAAACACAGATTTAACAATATTATGCAGTTGTACTTCATTATCTAGAATATTATGGATACTAGTTTGTGGAAGTAATTTGCCAGAACCTCATATAATCTCCCTAACAAAATTTCCTTTAGTTAACTACAGTTAAATATAGTAAATACTTTGATACTTTGATTTAATATGAATCTTTACTCTAGAATTTTTTTTCAAGATTTAGAGTCCTTAATATTTCTTACATTACAAAGCAATGATGTATTTTTTAAAATTATAATATGTAATTACTAGTAGTTACCATTTATTTAAGAAATAATCAGATTTTCTTTATGTTGTAGAACTTGATTACCACATTTCTACATCTTTTTATAAAATTAGATCGCGAATTCATCAATATAAAGTTTGGAGACGGTGAGCTTGAGCACGGTCAGCGTTACATTATATGTATTCATACGGAACACACTGAAATACACGACGGACAATCTAGTAGAGTTCTACCGGAAATAAATGCATGCAGTGATGGAGTCGTGGTTGATCTCACTCCTCCATCGAAGGGGAGTGTTTGGATTGGAAAACGTGGACAACAATATCAGGTTTAATTAAAATTGCGAAGACAGTAAAAAGTCATTAGTTGTTAATTGTTTCTGAATGGATTTGTGGCTCAAGTTTGGAGGAAAAGAGTGCTTTGTGTAATCGGTTGAGAATTTGACAGGTAGTAGCATGAATTATGTTTGACATTTTGTAAGGTCTTTTAGATTGCATTTTCATTTTTAGATATCAACAACGGACATGTATGTAACCTGGAATTCTTTTAAGGATGTTGAAGAAATTCAGACAATCTCTCACGTCTCTGGAGTGCAGAATTACCAACTTGGAATTGGTGTGCTTGATTATTTTATTAACTAAATAAATAAAGATATAAGGCATTTGTCGTACTTTTATGAAATTTCTGTTTTCCCGTTTGCATAGGAACCTTTATTGGTGGGAATGACATCACTGCATTCACAGATGTTGGAGTAAGCAATCATAAAGCCATACATGGTCTATCCCTCCAAAGTGGTCACAAGTATTATGCCACAATAAAAGGTGAAATAATAATAAAATCTTACAAGATTTATTCAATTTTCTTTTTTACGCTCAATAATTTTTTTATCCCTCAAATTTCAGCAACTGATTTTGTCAATCGAACTACTATTCAAACATCGTCACCAATTATTGTTGATACCAGTCCTCCCTTAAAATCTGACAATCCTATCACTTTAACTGGACGTCATATTACATCTGTCTCGGAAATAGAAGCATGGTAAAGATATGAATAGTCATTTTGAGTAAACTGGTAAAAAGTTTCAAATAAGATACTTCTAAAAAGACCTTCATTGATGATATAAATCAGAAATGGTTTTGGAGCTAAATTATTTTCCTTCAAGCATTTAAAAAATATTTTTCTAAATACCCTCTATTATAAACAATAGATTTGGAGCTAAATAATTTTCATTTATACTTCCTGGAATAAATATTGAATTGTATGAATGACAATAAGTATGATAAAGATAAGATTATTTTATAATATATTTTAATTGTACTGGTCAGTTGGAAGAATATATTCAGTGACCCGGAGAGTGGTGTAGACTTCTACATGTGGTCTGTAGGTTCCGAGCCCGGGTATTCTGACGTCATGGATTACACCCGTGAGAATGCTGAATGTGGAACAAATGATAAAACTCACAAAATTGCTTTCGAGGAAGGGCACGCATATTATATTAATGTCAAGGTACGTCTAGCAACAGAGATTCCATGTGTATATACAATGTAATTGTACTTGTGATTCTACAAGCATTGTTTTTTAGGCCTTCAATAAAGCCCGCTTGGTGACATCAGCGACCTCTTGGGCCTACACAGTAGACCTATCCCCTCCTTCAGAAGGTTACGTGTTTGAACTTTCGCCTTCAGGAGATAGTAAATTGGACATCGATTACCAAACTGATATAAACAAATTGATGATATTCTGGGAGGGATTTTATGACCCACATTCTTCAATCAAAGAATTCTTTGTCACTGTTGGAACTTGTCATCGCTGTGATGACGTCATCAAACGCCAGAGCGTAGGTCTCGTGACAGGTAAGAAAATCTTAAATGAAATAGTGTATTCAGAGTTATTTGCTCCTTGTAATTTTCGCTTTTTACACTTGCTTAGAATTTTGCCCCCCCCCCCCCCCGTTTTGAATTCGCCCAGTCACAGTTCTGTTTAAGAAAAAATATTGCGTTCTTTGAATTCGCCGCCCCGTTTGAAATTCGTCCACTTGTAAGAAGGGCGACATGGGCGAAAATAAAACGGGCGAAAATATCCTATACACAGTATTAAGATAAACAGTCGCCCGCGTGGCGCAGTGGTAAGGGCGTCTGTTGTAGAATGACGGAATAAGAAAATGATCCCTACATCGTTGGTTCGAATCCAACGCGAGACAGGTCCTTCAAATAAAGACCGTATAAACCATGGTTCTGTATCGCAGTAGATGTTGACACGAAATAGATTTCTCACTGCTTAGTGAGTATGAGTGCATAGTATATGAAAAAAAAAATTGCAGCTCAAAACCGACAAGAGATTGCATCCTTATAGGAGTAAAAAGTCCTTGTGAGTGACGTTAAACAACAAACAAACAATCAAAGCGAAGTGATAAAATTCTAAAGTCAATCGGAAAAATACAAATTGTGAGCAACACGGGCGAATAAAACATCAAAATTACCATGGATGAGTAAGTATACCCCTGTCGACAAGCAATTCACGCCTTGTCATCATCGTGCAAACTGAAAATTTGAAGACTTGCACAAAACACCTAGTCAAAATTCGACTTCAGGATATTAAGACATCTTTTATTAAATGGTATTCTGTAATGAATAATAAGTTGATATGAAAGTTTAAACATCCAGCATTGCTTTGTTATGAACATTATTTCAGAAATGACGGTAGATTATGTCCACTTTGGTTCGGGTTTAACCTACTACACGTCGGTAACAGCCTGTAACACTGCAGAGTTTTGTACCTCAGCTTACTCTGATGGCGTCATCATGGACAATAGTCCTCCAAATGTGGGCGTGGTTACAGATGGAACTTCTGCTAATGATATAGAATACCAGTCAATCAGGTGATAAAATTATTTATGAATATTCATTTATTAAGTATTAAAAGAATCATTCATATGTTTGTTCTTATGTAGAAAACTGACACTTTGAAGGTTTAAGGAACATACTCTGTCAGTCAGTATTTTGATAAAACGATTCTGTTCATCAGAGAAGTTAAAAATCAATCGTATACTAGTAATTTCTAACGGACATTTCTGATAAATCATAAATTATTTTTATTCGTCCATAATACCCTTCTTTGTCATTTAGCTAGTTTCTATGAAATATTAAATACACGCACAATAGTTTTCTTTTAATACTAACTAGTAACTTTCTGTGCACTGATTAGACTTAAATTAAATTAATAACGGTAATTAAAATAATTTTATTTTTTCAAAAAGCGTTTAATTTATGTATTTGAAATCGAATGGTCAACATAGAAAGGTTATATTTCACAAATTCTCTTTACCAAATTTGATTTTAAAAAAAGGAATACTTCAATGCATAAACTAAGATAAATATATTTTTCTTTTAATTTTCTCCAATGACAGAAATTGGATTGGTGCTAAGTGGCATAGTTTCACTGACCCACAGTCTGGAATATCCCATTACGTTTGGTGGGCAGGGACCACGCCGGGGGGTAACGATATTCTTCCGGCAAAAGAAGTCCATTTGGTTGAAGAATCAACTGTGTATAATTTCTCACAGGAACTACCATTATCAAAGCGTATTTTTGTAACAGTTAGAGCATATAACAAAGCGGGTACGTATAATATATATTATATGCTATACATTTTTGTGTAAATATTAATTAGTT